GTTAACGTTGGTTTGCTACACTACCTGTCCTGCTGTAGAGAGTGGTCTGTATTGAGGGAGGGAGTTGGGGACAGGTTAACGTTGGTTTGCTACACTACCTGTCCTGCTGTAGAGAGTGATCTGTATTGAGGGAGGGATTGGGGACAGGTTAACGTTGGTTTGCTACACTACCTGTCCTGCTGTAGAGAGTGATCTGTATTGAGGGAGGGATTGGGAACAGGTTAACGTTGGTTGCTGCACTACTTGTTCTGCTGTAGAGAGTGGTCTGTATTGAGGGAGGGAGCGGGAACAGGTTAACGTTGGTTGCTGCACTACTTGTAGTGCTGTAGAGAGTGATCTGTATTGAGGGGGGAGTGTGGACAGGTTCACGTTGGTTTGCTACACTACTTGTACTGCTGTAGAGAGTGGTCTGTATTGAGGGGGTAGTGTGGACAGGTTCACGTTGGCTTGCTACACTACCTGTCCTGCTGTAGAGGGTGATCTGTATTGAGGGAGAAAGTGGGGGCAGGTTCACGTTGGCTTGCTGCACTACCTGCACTGCTAATGACTGATAACTAAAACGATCTTAGCGATACGTGCAATTGTTACTCCCATACTTTAACATAGACTTACCACAATCGTAGCTCTAAGATCACTCCGTGCCTTGCTTCTCGGTACGAGACAATTTAGTGAATACTAACATTTGATAACCATGTATATTTGTTTGACCTGACATAATGTATATATAAAATATCTGAACTAACTTTTAATACGTCTCTAACACAAATTCATGATGCCCAAACGACCTAGCCTTCCGGGAATATTTAATAATCATTCCCCGAGGTATTCTGACCTACACATCGTATCTAAAATTACATGTCACGCACAGGTATGTTCTAATGGGTGAAATCCCCTTCATGTGATAACAGTTTTCACAGAGCTGAATGTACTAATCTTTAAATATTCACTGTTTTCTTTACTAAAATAACCCTTCTCCCAGATGGATCTGAAGAGGCCTCACTTAACTACACCAACCCTTACAGTGTGAATACAAGTACAGATCCTCGAGACGATGATGGTGAATACGTGAACCTGTAGGGCAATGGTGCATGTATCTGGGTATGAAGTTATTTATCAGTATGTGAAAAAACATCTGTATGATCTGTAGATATAGCTGGTAAATGCATTGACTAACTGAACGATGAAAACATGTGGCTGCACAGTGAAAACATTGGAATGTATGGTGAATACATTGAACTGACGGTGAATACATGAAACTGAACGGTGAATACATGGGACTGAACGGTGAATACATGGAACTGAATGGTGAATACATGGAACTGAAGGGTGAATACATGGTACTTATGGTGAATACATGGAACTGAAAGGTGAATACATGGAACTTAACGGTGAATATATGGAAGGTTATGGTGAAAACATGGAAATGAACGGTGAATATATCAACTGATGGTGAATACATGGAACTGAACGGTGAATACATCAACTGAACGGTGAATTCACGGAAGGTTATTGTGAATACATGGAACAGAACGGTGAATACATGGAACTGACGGTTAATACATGGAACAGAACGGTGAATAAATGGAACAGAACGGTGAATACATGGAACTGAACGGTGAATACATGGAACAGAACGGTGAATACATGGAACAGAACGGTGAATACATTGAACTGAATGGTGAATACATGGAACTGAACGATGATTACATAGCGCCGAACGGTCAAACTAGCCAATGACTTCCACAGATATTTCACAGATAAAATCACTATCCCTGTCTCATAGTATGGCATTTGTGTGCGAGGATCTCACGTTAGAGGCTGACATCTTCAAACCCCATCCAAGATCGTACTTTCTATAGTGGATGTGCTGCTCCCAGTCTCCAGAATTGCAGTCTGTTCCCCGTGGGTTTTTTCAAGTGAACCATTGACTTGACTTTGCATGTGTTTGTGACAGATGCCACCGGTGGGGCAGGATACGCTCACATTTTCGCGAACACCAGGTATCATTACTATTTGGTAGTGATTCATAAACACAATATCTTGATATAGTCGGAATCGTGTAATCGACTCTGCTTTAATGCAGAGATTTCAATTGGATATGGAAAGGGTTTTGTCGCTTTATTTAGGTGTTTTCCCCACAAATTATAACATTCCCACAAGTTTTGAATGATGACATCGCCACTGTTAGATCACTCATAAAAAAGCCATGATTGCGTCCTCCACTCTTAAAAATATTCAGACCAGTATCCAACCTACCTTTCATTTCAGATGCCCGCAAAGGTAGTTAATTTGCAGCTGCTTCAACATCTTGCAGAGTGTGATAGTTGCACACTGCATACAGTTCTGCTCACAGCACTGTGTCTGCTTTGAATTGTGTTGTGCACCATCTTAAAATGTTAGTGGACAAAGATGATATATCCATGCTAGTTCTGCTTGATTTATCTACTGCTTCCAACACTATCGATCTTTTTTCTTTCTGCTTTATTTAGTCGCGACCTGTGAAGGACAGGTAAACGAAAAAAAAAAACAGCAGTGAAACACACCGGCAGAAATGAGCACCTGATTTGGACGTGGGTGCGTTTGGGGGAATTTTCAAGTTTGTGATCTGCAGGTGTCTTGGCGACTGAAAATTGAAATGGCAATAATATTATGTCAAAATCACTAAATTACGTTGTATTCATGATTCTTGTATTCTTAAATGCATTCATATTTTCATTCAATTTGCGTTGTTTTTTTGTGGTGTTTACATTGAGCTGCATGCTGAATATACAAAAATGTACGGTGAATACATGTTTGAGCGACATATAAGTGTAATTGATGTGCAGTGATTTGTGCTGTTTTATAAACTTATGAATTTTGTAAAACATTTGTTGGTTGTATGTCATTTATTGGTTGTTTGTTGGTTTCACACTAAGTTCTTTTAAGTACAGATTTCTGGATTAACGTATTGTTTCAATTTGAAAATCAAGACGGAACAGTGTAATTAATCTGAAGTTCTGGAAGATAATTTGTTTTGTCGTCAGTTTACAGATTGTTTGATACTAAGGTTCTCAATCCTGAAATTTCATAATTATAAATAAAACTAGTTAGGCGTCATCTGTGACGTCGTGTGTCGTTTTCGGAGGTTTCTGATATTTGTGTTATGACCCCCTAATGGTCACAATTGCCAGGTTCGATTATGCTACGTCACTCTGAAGTGGGTTCGCACATATTATATATTTATAAACGTTATTATAAAATATATCTAAGCTCAAAAGAAGTGTAACCGTTTAATATCAGGCCGCACGGCATATAGTACTAGCTATAAGGAGTGAGTGAGTGAGTTGGGTTTAACGCTGATTTGAACAGTATTCCAGTTATATCACGGCGTCACAGCTTTTTATGGGAGGAAAGACCGAATTGATGCAGTCTCAGACGTTCACCACTTTGGTGAAACCCACGAGCATGTGTATGGTGCTGACAAACCAAGAAACATAATCGCGACGAACCCACGATTATAGGTTCCTGGCGTGGCAAAGGGACACAACTCTGCACAGAGAATTGCGTCGCGTTAGATGACTGGGTCACCCATGTCCCCAGTACTAGCATTCGAATTTTAATCGTCATAGAAAAGACACATAGGTTATATAGTCAATATTAACCGAATTCCTTCATAATGGAACACAATCGCTGAGTACAACGATATAATAAGATATTTAGTAGTGAAAGGGGAGTGGGTCCCAACAATAGATAGGGGAGTGGCACTTGGATCCCATTGACTTTTTTCCGAACCTTCCGGTGGTTTCCCGCCATGTTCAACTTGTTTTCCACATACACTACATACATGGTCAAAGTTGCACCTCTAACCACAGCTGCACTTGCCCTTGTTGAACTGCCAACATACTTCTTTTACTGGGGATCGACCATCACGCTTCACTGGTCTATTGTCTCTCTTTGATAAGCTAGCCTGAGCCATTATCCTTTCTTTCAGATACATTGTACTTAAATGCTGTCCATCTGATCCCCAACGAAACCCTGCCTGGGTCTGCTTATCTCTATAGTCAAAGTCATACCACAGTACTGAAGCCCATGTGTAACGGCAGGCTAATTCTCCAATCTTAGTGTATGCGAGATAGTCAATGATCTAGTCCCCTTGCAACTTATCCTCCCTAATCAACTCTGCAATTATGAAAGCATTAGAAGCAATCCATTGGGATGGTGTAACTGTCTCAAGTTTTTGTTTCTTCTTTTCATTCATTTTGAGTGTAATTCTACCCCCGATATCAAACTCCTCTGTTTCAGAATATACACTATTTGGGCCAGGAGGTAAAAAATCAACAATATATAGAGGTTTCTCACCATATCTTCCTCTTTTCAGGTAGGTCGACGGGTCCAGATCTATTCTAGCTGGTTGCACCGAATTCCTGCTACTATCTGATTGGAAGCCAAGAATATCTCCAAGTAGCCTAAGCCCAAACGGTGCTGGCGGTTTATTACCCCGGAAGCAGCATGAGCAGACGATGCCCCTGCCAGTAAACTTTGAAGTCCCCTGATGTGCCGCCTTTTTAGCTTTAATACTTCAAAAGCTTCCTGTTTCATGTTCATCAATGCGATCTTCGCATCAAATCCTTCTTGAATTAACACATGGGCCACTTCGGCTGGTAAACCTGCCTCTTCTATGAACACATCGAAAGCACGCGGTTTCTGGGCTGCTCTCGCGGCAGCAGCCGCACTATCAAAGTCGAGTACACTCATCCTAACATTCATGAGTGAGTGAGTATGGCTTTACGCCGCTTTTAGCAATATTCCAGCAATATCACGGCGGGGGACACCAGAAATGGGCTTCACACATTGTACCCATGTCGGGAATCGAACCCGGGTCTTCGGCGTGACGAGCGAACGCTCCTAACATTCATGTATCAGCCTGTATGAAGATCTTACTCACACGCAGCGCCCCTCAGCGATTTATGTATAGACTTGTTCATTCGTTACCATGATTAAATTTTCCCGTACCTCTCGTTGCCACGATTAAATTTTGCCGCCACTGTATACCTGCCAGCCACCGGATATAGAAGTACGCTAAACTAAAAGCCGGACAATCCTGTCCTAGAGGAGGTAACTCCTACCGTCTAAATTCTTTTCACTCCGGAAAAACACAGACAACGATATAATAAGGACACACAAACGATACAATGACGAATCCTCCAAGAGCTGATATTTACAACCGGTTCCATTATTTACCACAACATGCATTTTGTTTATTTGTTTGTTGTTTAACGCCGCGGTCAGCAATATTCAAGCTATGTGACGGTGGTCTGTAAATAATCGAGTTGGGTCCAGACAATACAGTGATTGATATCATTAGCATCAATCCACGCAATTAGGATCGATGACATGCATCAACCAAGTCAGCGAGCCTGACCACCCCATCCCGTTTATCGCCTCTTATGACAAGCATAGTCGCCTGTTACGGCAAGTATTGATTGCTGAAGACCTATTCTACCCCGGAATCTTTACGGGTCAGATGCATTGTGACATTATTGTTGATCAATCCATTTATGAGGTAAACATCTAAATTTACATTATTTTCAAATTGAACAGAATAATATATTTCTGGTTCTTGTTGAATGTGAACACAAGAAAGTTGAATAAGCTGTTTTATCATGCCGTATTTACAAACCAACGTCTTTACTCTTAGACAGAACATGGTCAGTAAATGATGCACATGGCCACAAACCTTTTGCAAACCTTTGTGTGAAACAGAAGCAACAAATGGTGAAATGAAAACATAAAATGTCAACCCAGAGAATAATCAGTCTCGAAAATCTCCCGAAACTGTTTCCATTGGAGGTGAAAGGCAAAATTGCGGTGAAAATGTATGTCAATGGAAACGAAGCGGCAAGGTAGAAAAACAATACCCCTACCAGTCTACAGTGATATCAGGCGACGTGTCACCATCACATTCACAAGCTTTGAGTTAGCCTAGTACCTCTGCCACAGGCCAATGAGATGTGACTATTCGTCACATCTTAAACAGTCCATTCAAGATATTGCATATGTTTTTCACCTGTTTCATTTTTGACGGGTCTACACATTTCGAGAAACTTATGAAGTGTCGTCGAAGCCCTATGGGCACCAGGTATTAGGGCCCTACAGCCACACACAAACTAACTTGTGACCAGAGACTAATTTAATATGGCCTATTCAGCCACATACAAACTAACTTGTGACCAGACACCAAGTATTATAAGGCCTCTACAGCCACACACAAACTAACTTGTGACCAGAGACTAACTTAATATGGCCTATTCAGCCACATACAAACTAACTTGTGACCAGAGACTAATTTAATATGGCCTATTCAGCCACATACAAACTAACTTGTGACCAGAGATCAAGTATTATAAGGCCTCTACAGCCACACACAAACTCACTTGTGACCAGACACCAAGTATTATAAGGCCTCTACAGACACACACAAACTAACTTGTGACCAGAGACCAAGTATTATAAGGCCTCTACAGTCACACACAAACTAACTTGTGACCAGACACCAAGTATTATAAGGCCTCTACAGTCACACACAAACTAACTTGTGACCAGAGACCAAGTATTATAAGGCCTCTACAGCCACACACAAACTAACTTGTGACCAGACACCAAGTATTATAAGGCCTCTACAGCCACACACAAACTAACTATTAATTACTGAATATGTTCTGTGTATTAGTAACCTAGTGATAAACAGCACAAGTTGTTGCTGTTCACTTCTTCATGCTCAAATTAATGACAGGTGCATTAACTCCCTTGGTTAAATACATATTTATATATAAATTAGATGTTGCAATTAGAAAAGATGGAATATTGATAATGACTCCAATCTCCTTATGTAATATTTAAATGTTAAGCACATACTTTCCGTATCATTAGTCAGCTTAATTAATTCCAAAATAATTTGAAAACTAGGGCCTAGATACTTTATTACATTACTATCAAGTCCACCAAAGATGTGAAGCTTCTGTAAAATATTTAAAGTGATAAGGGGACACTACTCTCATTTGTGTTCCCGGCATTCCTTCGGTGACGATATCCTTTTGTTTTGATTTTTTTTACCTGTTGTAATTTGTTTGTTGTCCGGGTTGAGGCCGCAGGTAGGGCGTTAATAGATGTGGCCGGCAGGGATAACCGCTGTCCCCGAGCAGGTGACAACCGTGCGGAAACTGATTATTCAGAAACGCATGTCTCAAATTGGAATTATTCCAAATCCTGGAATCATGTACTGACCCGGGTCACTTTGCCACGATGTTTAGTATTTTGTAATTCGCGTCCATGACGACTTGAACGTTAATGCTATGAAATCCCTTGCGACAAACAAATTCTGGCTCATTTACATGTGGAGCTATAATCCTAACGTGTGTCCCATCAATTACTCCGATCACACCCGGAAATCCACCAATTGCTTGAAATTGCACCTGCGTTCGATTGAGGTCGGCCGCATTGGAGGGCATAGAAATGAAGCGATGTAAGATGGCCGGAATCACGAGTGCATTTAAGGTCTGATTTATGACACGACTGACAGTTGGTTGACTTATACCCAGATCGTCGCCATTGCAAAGCTGCATCTTACCTGTCGCCAAGTATCGCAAAGTAATGATTACTTTCAGTTCAGCGTCGGGTAGCGACATATTTCGTTTCGTAGGGCTTTGCAACTGATTTCTTACAATATTTGTCACAAAATTTATGCCGGCATGTATCTTTCAATAAGTTCATAATCAGTAAGGTCATTTAACACATCTTTTCGAGCTCGAAATATACGGTTTCTACGATGTCGCAGCTGCACGGCGGCGGCAATATTGGAACTCTAAGAGTTTACCTGAGTAGATAAGAGTGCCAATGACCACTCCTAAAGATAGGAGTAACTTTTAGGAGTTAGGAGTAACTTTTAGGAGTTAGGAGTAACTTTTAGGAGTTAGGAGTGAACTCTTAGGAGTTTTGGCAGTTAGGAGTAAATTTCCAACTCTAAGAGTTTTTTATAAATACGGGCCGCGGCACCTAATCGCCACCACAAAAAGTCAGCGATCCAACCCACTGGGCCACCGAGGTTTCCACAAAAGTGGAATTCAGACAACTGGCCCGTGAAGAGATCACCCGTTTAATAACAGACAGCTTTATTACACATTGTGTAATACCAAAACACGTGCTTATGTACTCTCGGAACACGTTTCACGAACAAATATTGAAAGCTCTCAACATCCCTTGGCGTATTCAACGACATTGTGTGTGGAGATGATAGATCACTGGGAGGAGCTTATGCACACTCGATGACCCCAGCAACCTTGTTGCTAGGCTGACGTCACATGGCATTGTTTCGCCGATGGATCTTGCAACAAAATTCAACAAATTACGTCATCGGGTATTGTGACGTCATTGTAAACTTTGAGCTGCAAGGCCCCGTTCCACAAGGTGATCGTACTCTAGCGCAACGAGAGTCTTTAGTCTAAGTTAAATTATGTGAGTTGTGATAGCCTAAGCACTACGATAATTTTGTGGGACGAACGCCTGAATTCTAAAGGTGGACCATTGTATGATATTAAATTCATTCGTTTCAATTTTTGACTTGTTTGAAGTATTATTCTGTTAAACTCAATTGGATTATGCCATGGATCGTGTAGGTGTCAGCCTATTTAAACTCAACAGTATAATTCTAAAAACACTATAAATGACAAGTAACAAATAAAATACTAAACTCGCTCTCGTGTAAAAACAATTTTATGAAACTCGTGAATAGTTGTGGTATCTGACTCGCTTTCGCTCGTCAGATACCAGAACTATTCACTCGTTTCATAAAATTGGTATTACACGGGAGCTCGTTTAGTATTCTATATTTATTACTTGCCCGTGAAGAGATCACCCGTTTAATAAACATACAGCTGTATTACACATTGTGTAATACCAAGACGCGTGCTTGTGTACTCTCGGAACACGGTTCACGAACAAATATTAAAAAGCTCTCAACATCGCTTGGCTTATTCAAAGACATTGCGTGTGGAGTTGATAGATCACTGAGAGGAGCTTATGCACACTCGATGACCCCAGCAACCTTGTTGCTAGGGTGACGTCACATGGCATTGTTTCGCCGATGGGTCTTGCAACAAAATTCAACAAATTACGTCATCGGGTATTGTGACGTTATTGTAAAGTTTGAGGTACAAGGCCCGTTCCACAAGGCGATCGTATTGTAGCGCAACGACAGTCGTTAGTCTAAGTTAAAGTATGTGAGTTGCGATAGTCTAAGCCCTACGATAATTTTGTGAATTCTAAAGGTGGATCGTTGTATGGTATTAAATTCATACCTTTCAACTTTTGACGTGTTTGAAGTATTATTCTGTTAAACTCAATTGGACTATGCCTTGGATCGTGTAGGTGTCAGCTAGCCTATTCATACTCAACAGTATAATTCTAAAAACGTTGTAAATGGCAAGTAATAAATAAAATACTAAACTCGCACCCGTGTAAAACCAATTTTATGAAACTCGCGAATAGTTGTGGTATCTGACTCGCTTTCGCTCGTCAGATACCAGAACTATTCACTCGTTTCATAAAATTGGTATTACACGGGAGCTCGTTTAGTATTCTATATTTATTTGTCACTGAGGCAAATATCAGTACATTGGCACGACGCCCATGGCCGAAAACTGTGAGTCCACGATGCCTTTTAGAGAGTGGTCGAATGTAAGAAACTCTATTCAGTTGCTTGCTGTTTTGGAATGGGTCAAATATTGGCTGTCTCTTTTAAATATGCGTGAATCCCGTTTACCCAAAAAAATTACAATATGTTGCGCTTGTACGATGGACATGGCCACGTAAATAGGGTAACGAAACTTAAAACTGTTATTTTTAGATTAGGATTTGGTGATGTCTGGTTCTTTCAAACGTGTTGATAAAACCTTATTTTTAGATATGTTATGTCAACGGTTAAAAGACAACTTTTTTCAGGTTTGGCATAGTGACTTATCTGAAAACCCCAAACTGGCTTATCGTGCACAGTTAAACATCCATTTTATTTGAGAACTATTTGAGTAGTAATACTGTAAATAAATTCAGAACCACATTGACTCGTTTTCGGTTTAGTTCTCACAATTTAGAAATTGAACGTGGACGACATTATAATATTCCTCATGAATTTAGAAAATGTAAAGTTTGTAACTTAAACCATATCGAAAATGAATATCACCGGCTTATAGCCATTTTAAGCAAAGTTACATAAAATCTAAATTTTACATCTTTCCAAATATTCTGAAGTTTAATACACAACTGTCATCGCAAGACCCTTTTATCAATATGAATACAGCAAAGTACTTATTTTATGCCAATGCTGGGAGAACACAAATACTCCAACATGTATAATATGCAATTATTTTAAAACTGCTTTTGTTAAAAAGCAAAGAAATGTATTATATCTTATACTGTTTGCACCTTAATTGCATTTCGTCTGTACAAAAAGGCCCGTGGCCAACAAGTACTGAATAAAGTGAAGTGAAGAAGTAAGAAATTACACTTTCACAGTAAAGTACAAATTCTAGATCATGCACGAAATATGACGTTTATTACACGTCTAATCGTGACCTCATTCATATGTCACTGAGGCAAATATAAGTACCACCCCCACCCCCACCCCCACCCACACCCACCCCAACACACACAAGTTTAAAATATTTCTGAGTCAAGCGACCCCCGATTGTGAGGTTGTTTTCTTCTAACATGCTCACAAAACAATCAGCATGTAGGCAAAGCAGGTTGCGAAGCAGGTAAGGTTTACAAGTACTGATTTACGATGTCCCACGGCGTGACCTACCCCAGTGTAACTTAATCCTTGTCAATATTGACGTTGAGATAAGACGGGTTACACTTGAGGTTATCTGCTAATATTATTGAGCGTTCACTTGCCAGCTTGACTGTCGTGGACCAGATTCCTTTGCAACAGCGTATTACAGTGAGAAGGCTCACATTCAGAATAACATAAGGTTAAATTTATTCTTCTGTTTGTGACAATCTCGATTATTTTGTGTTATGGCTGATCCGGGTCTAATGTTCAGAGTTGACATCAGTGGAGAAGAGGAGACATCAAGAAGATGCCAGTTGAAGGGAAGGTACATCTTTGGGGTGAAGAACTCAAGTTTGTGCCTGTACGACATCACATCCAACCACGTTCTTTATGAATGGCCGTACGTTTACATCCGAAGATTTGGGAAAAAGAGGAAGGCATTCTATTTTGAAGCAGGACGAAGATGTACATCTGGTGAAGGTGTTTTCACTTTGGAAACAGAACAAAATATTCAAATTTTTCATGCTGCTAAAGAAAAAACGACATGGAAAGCAGCCAAAGAACATGCTGTATTGTCAGGGGACATATTGGACGGTGAGTTGTTGTTTCCCCAAGTATTGAAACAGTACAAGCATACGTAAGACACTATTTGTTTAAATAATAATTGTCATTGTAAGAAGTAAAATATTTATAGTGAGCTTCATCAAAATAATCTAAATCAGTGAACCATGTACTTTTGTTTTTGACAGGATGTGCTCACATTCCAACTGACAAGAATCTGGGCACTGTGGAACAGAAATCTGTCGGAGCTGACGAAAGTGATCACACGTACGTGAACATCAGCAGTGCGATAAAGGGACGAGGCCTTGGGGGACTTCACGAGGATAAGGTTGTCGGTGTTTACAGTGAACCAGACATCACGGGGACATACTTAACGGCAGTTCCAGGGAAAATCACGGGGACATACTTAACGGCAGTTCCAGGGAAAATCACGGGGACATACTTAACGGCAGTTCCGGGGAAACAGGAGTACCGAAGAGCAATTTCAAATGATGACACCCGTGGTGTGATCTCTTCCCAATCGGATATGGACCACATTTACAGCGAACCGTACAGCACATAGACTGTGGTAAATAACGAATGGTTCTCTTGATGAAACAACACTGGCATGTTTTCATATGAGAAACGTTGTGGGAAGTTATATCAGTAAACAGTTGGAACGGGTGACACAGTCGTCTAAGATGAATTGCGAGACAGAGGGGAATACTTAATCATGCTGGACTGGCACTGATCTTGTTGACATATTTACTGGTTGCTTGGAAAGACATTATGGTTTCACTATAGACGAGCTTTTATGGGTCTAATCCTTAATGAGTCTAAATTGAAGTATTTGCTGAATGTTCAATTCAATTCGGTTTATTTCGTAAGTGTAGGCCATCGGCCCATAGTTACATTTGTATTACAATGAACGTGATGTACACAGCTGTTATTGTTGTGACAATAATGTACTACGAAGTGACATCGCTTGATAGATATAGATAGCTAGACGTTCAATTAATTTACAATCAGTTGTAGACATAATGATATTAAATTTTTGTATGGTCGAATATTCATAAAATGTCTGTGGTAAGTGATCCATGCGTATCTTGTTATAACCGGAGCAAATTAACAAAACATGAAACTCGTCCTCCACATACCCAGCATTACAAACACAACATAGTCTTCTGTTACGTGGGATATCAGCATATCTCCCAGTTTCAACACACAGCTGATGCGAAAAACATCTAAACCGAGCTAGCGCCACTCTCAATTTACTGACGGTCATACAGCTAAGATACAACTCTGTACCAAACGATACCTTGAATAGAGAATACGAGAAAGATTTACTACCCTTTACCAGAAGACTATGCCAATCCTGTTCATAACTACATTTCAGACGCGACATAAATTCTGTCAAAAACGAATGAGGATGACTTATACACTGGTTTTCCCATACAGAGCCAAAACCCAAACGGAACAATAAAGATTTACATTTTGATACCCAATTAATTTTACCATTACTTTCTGCCTGAAGCATCATATGATAACATTTCTTTGGAAAGCGACAATCGGACATACTCAATAACCTTATCCAATAACCAATAACTCTTTTGTATGCATAAATATATAATGGATACCGCCCACATTCACCTCGAGCCATGTTGTTGGGTGTTGACGATTTGACACCTAGAAAGCGCTTGCATGCCAATGTATGTATAGTTTCCATTTCATCATTCTGGTGTAGACCCCAGACTTCGGAACCATAGAGCAAAATTGGGACTATTTTCATATCAAATATTTTAAAATATAACTTATAATAGCCCTTGCTGTGGATCTCATTATTATATGAAAACTTAATATAAATGTTATATCATGAAATGATATAGTATTAATACTTTGACTTATGCAAATTTACGCCCTAAGCAATATTACTCTTGTGTGTATTTTCTGCCAGTATTCTTGTTAAATCACCCCGTGTCAGCTAAATGTGGGAGGAAAGCCCGAAGTGGTGCAGGTTTCAGATGTTTACGATGCCACTTTGATGAAGGCCAGGGGTATAGTGCTGACAAACCGCCTCTGCCGACAAGCATGAGAACTGAAGAACAATGCTGACAAAGATTTTCAAGTTGTTTACTGATAGTGGATGAGTGAGTGAGTTGGGTTTAACGCCGCTTTTAACAGTATTCCAGTTATATCGCAGCGTGTCGGCTTAATGTGGGAGGAAAGTCCCGAAGTGATGGAGGTCTCAGACGTTAACCACTCCGGTGAAACCCACGAGCACGGGTATGGTGCTGACAAACCTAGAAACATAATCGGGGCGAACCAGATTCTGCAAATCGAATCGCGGCGCCTTAGACGACTGGGCCACCCGTGCCCCCTCAAAGTCCTAGACAAAACGTTCATTTTTGTACCAAACTGTGCACATTAATAAATTGTAACAAATGACAAATTTTGTCGTTTAGATTTTTGAAATTATGAGTCCCGCTTTGAGGTGTGACTCGATAACCCTACAGCTTAGCTTTGTCTGTTCCCTAGCAGTATCTATATATCTGGCGCGGCCATGAGACATTTCAAAGATTCCCTACACAATAACTTCAAAGATCTAGCTTGACTAAAGATGTAATTTGGAGTATATTGCGCACATACAAAATGAATTTTGGAAATACACAGTTTAGTATTAATATACTGGCTTTGGTCAAACATACCTGGTTGCACTTCTCAACAGTCACACAATATATATCCTGGATTGAGTCCATGTAAGTAAACGCAAATTCCCAATGAAATATCTTGTACTCAGTGTCCATCTTGTAGGAGCCCGTGAGGTGCTTTCTGTATTGTGCAGGTTCTGCATGATGATGGATGTGGTCGGATCTCTGTGGGATAGGGGTGTCTACTTCTTTCGTGCTGTGCAGGAACAACATCTTGAATTGCAAGTCTTAGCAGTGTTGCTAAGATATTCGACCAGGGAAGGTTTGGAATCGGAGAACTTGTTCTTGATCGGAGAGGTTCTTGTTGTTTCTTCATCTTGCTACATGCCGTTTTTAGTTTTTGGTGATTGGCCTTCATGAAAGTAGTATATCCTTTTAATAAGAGACTCTCACTTCCCACAGTACTCTGAACCAGAACCCTCGGTACGGGAAAGGACAGACTAAGAAGTCTGTCAAAACCGATAGCTCCACCAAATTAACAACGCGTTGGTGCACGTGCGTTGCAGACACACGTGACGTTGCTAATGAATAATTTGTATACTCGTATATGCAATGGGTAGGCATATGGTTCTCGGAAGGAAGTGACAACTTTGAGACGATGACTTGCGGTATATACAATTGTACTTTATACAGGTAGATATATACATACAAAAAACACTGTGCCAGTTCAGCAGGTAGTGGTGGTGGTGTTCCGGAGCACCCAGCCTAACCCTAGCTAGGCTTAGGGTAAGACCTTTTCTCTCTCTCTCTCTCTCTCTCTCTCTCTCTCTCTCTCTCTCTCTCTCTCTCTCTCCCCCTCTCTCTCTGGACCAAGGTTTTTAAAGCCAAGGTCACCTGACATTTAGTAAGTCATAAATATAAACAACAGTAATTCATCAGTGACATACTTGCACATCTCGTTCATGATGGCAGACAGTCGATGTACAATACAGTGGGGATTAACCATTGGGATGAGCATCTTATAAATAACGGGAATTCAGTGTTTCAAGGCACATAGATGGCATGGCTCCACGGTAATGAGCCTTTGGAATTAAATGTTCATTTAGACAATGGTTGTCGTAAATCGGTCGCTATGACAACAATGAGCTTTCAATATGTGTCATGTGTGCAAATCAAGTTTTTGCTTCGCCACGAGTAGCAATAATATCTCCTTGTATTTGGTATCACCACGGAAGGGCTACTGGTTTTAAAGAGAAGACGAAAGTTATCCTATTTTTGATACTGGTCTGAGATTAGGACTGACAAGAAAAGGGTGTTTGGGTGTGACAAGAATCGAACGATCAGAGAAACATTTACCTTTAGTTGCTAGGAGCCTGTAATGCCCCTATTTATAGAATGTATACTCATCAGAGAACCTCTGGAATGAGATCATAAGATTGCCATAACATTTACCTTTAGTTGCTAGGAGCCTGTAATGCCCCTATTCATAGAATGTATACTCATCAGAGAACCTCTGGAAGGAGATCATAAGATTGCCATAACATTTACCTTTAGTTGCTAGGAGCCTGTAATGCCCCTATTCATAGAATGTATACTCATCAGAGAACCTCTGGAAGGAGATCATAAGATTGCCATAACATTTACCTTTAGTTGCTAGGAGCCTGTAATGCCCCTATTCATAGAATGTATACTCATCAGAGAACCTCTGGAAGAAGATCATAAGATTGCCATAACAGGACTGTTGGAACCCTCTCTGTGGATGGAAAACATACATTATGGAAGTGTGTACGAGGCGTCTGAATTTTAGTTGTCTCCACGTCCCACTCATGTCGGTTTTCCGAAAGATGACGACTTAAAGGCTGTCATTGCTCACTACAAGATCTCGGAATTCCAAACTGTAGTTGTACGATCACTGGTCCGGCCCCTGGCTATCTGTACAGGAAAGGCTGGCACTATGTAATCATGAAACCTGTTTCCTACCACATGTATCTCTTTTGGATGGCTGGGTCGACTACATGATCTTCGAGTTTTTGGAAACTCCCAGTTGCTCCACAAACTGACAATGATGACCTCTTCCCAGAAGCTAACTACACCAGACAAGGTTTCATTAATCATGTTACATTATTAGGCAGATCATTACAAAAGGCCATAACAACTAACAACAGAGTATTCAGACAGGATATAATCAAACATTGCACTTTATCAGTGAAAGTGAGTTGCATGTTTTTACATGGGATAAAGTGAAACAGCATACTTTTGTCAATAGAATATTCAATCACACCAGTAGGACGAGTTTGTTCTATTTTATTATAATACAACGAATATAATCTCAAATATGTTGAGGACCCGTGACGATCCGGGGTAGAATAGGCTTTCAGCAACCCATGCTTGCTGTAAAAGGCGACGGGATCAGGTGATCAGGCTCGCTGACTTGGTTGATGCATGTAATCGATCCCAATTGCGTGGATCGATGCTCGTGATATCAATCACTGGGTTGTCTGGTCCATCATACAGGTGGAATATTGCCGAGACTCAGTTAATGCTATATTCTCCAAAAAGTAGGGATTCGTGAAATATAAATGTTATGGTCGGTTGTCAGAAGCGACCTAACGCCCCCAAACACTCAATACATTGTGCATGTTGTTTGAGATTGATTCTTTACCCATTGTGGCATTACCCATTGATTATCAAGTCATCACAAACGTTCATTTTTGACTACGTGTCCCCTGTCTTCTTTCTTGGTTGTTGGACTCTTACGCTACACCGTCAACGTGTTCTGTTGATTGTCACATCACACCTAAAGTACTCATGGGAATGAATTAAAACTGTTTTGCTGAATTTGATAATCGGCACAAAGCATTACGTAGATGTAAATAGGAAATAACAAAACAACTGGAAAAGTACTAGTCTGGATTTGCTAGTTTTATCTCAGTGCTCAATACAAAATGTACTTTACAGGAGGTAATTTAATTGTAGGCACTTTCAACATTCAAAAATAAACTAAGTCCAAATTGACATGGCAGAAACAGGCTATAGGCATTATGCAAATTAGCCTGGGAAAAAGTGATCAAAACAACAATTAAAATAACAGCTATGTTTATGTACATAATAATAATGACATTTAAGTTGTTGTTTGAGAGGGGGCGGTCGGGTAGCCTGGTGGTTATTGCGTTCGCTCGTCACGCCGAAGACCCGGGTTCGATTCCCGACATGGGTACAATGTGTGAAGCCCATTTTTGGTGTCCCCCGCCGTGATATTGCTGGAATATTGCTAAAAGCGGCGTAAAACCATACTCACTCATTGTTGTTTGAGAAGGGAATATGTTCCTTTTACGTTCTGATATTTTGACGATGATTCACTGTCCCACAATGCCACTCACAAATCACTAACCACTGACAAATCACATGCACGTTGGT